TCCTTCCTTCCTTCCTTCCTTCCTTCCTTCCTTCCTTCCTTCCTTCCTTCCTTCCTTCCTTCTTTCCTTCCCTTCCTAGGTTACACAACAAACATGACTCTAATTACTTGTATTATTTTATTTCCTTGCATGCATTTGTATATAAATAATAAATACTATATTTATATCCTGCCTTTATTCTATACAATTCAATGTGGCATTTCTAATGTCCCTGCTTTCTATTTTCCTCAAACAAGTCTGGGAAAGAAAATATAAGAAAGATACAAATTATTTACTACTGACATGGGTGTCAAACTCGCAATGTCATGTGACGTGTCGCGACGTATCGCAATATTTTTTTTCCATTGCCAGCAATGGGGTGGGCGCGGTTTCGCCATGATGCATCCGGCCCGCGGGCCTGCAGTTTGATACCCCTGGGTTGGACTGAGAGAGAATGACTGGCCCAAACACACCCAGTCAACTTTCAAGCCTAAGGATACCCTGGAAGTCACAGTCTCCCAATTTCTTGTCCAGCATCTTTTCCATCACCAAACTAGCTCTCAGTTTGCAAAAACATGAATAAGATTCATCACAAGCCCAGGGACTTTATTAAAAATGTCCTTGGATCTTCTTCCAACTGAAGAAGTAGAAAGTGCCACCATCATTTTGAAACTTGAGTCTGTGAGGAGTTGGGAAAGCCTTGTGGAGGCCTTCAAAGGAACTGCTTCCTTTGGTGGAGATGATCAATAAAGATTTACGGCTTCTCTGATTTTTTTGTGTGCTATGGTGGCCAGTTCAGACAAAAATAAATTGTCAAGGCAGATTCGGTACAATTGTTTCTTCTTTGTTGAACTGTTGTCTAATTCTACTCGTGTGTTGCAAGACATATCTCTTTGCAAAGTGATTCCAAAACACATCTTATTGTTCTTGTGTCTCAGGTCACTGCTGGTGTGTAGATGAGACGGGACGTTATGTTTCAGATTCTTTGATGACACGTTCAACACAACTGCCCCAGTGTAAGTCTTCTTCTTTAAAGATGGGCTGTTGCCCCGTTACAAGCTGAGTGCATGTTGGGATAAAATTAGTTCAGCTGATTTATGAAAGGCTGAGTTGAGGCCGTCCACATCTTTAGTATGGACAGCCTCAATCCAGCATTTCATAAACCAGCTAAACTATAGAGCAGGGGTGTCAAACTCAATTTCATTGAGGGCCACATCAGCATTGTAGTTGCCCTCGGGGGGGGGCACGCGTGGGTGTGGCCAGGGTGGGTGCAGCGTACTGGGTGGGCGTGGATGGAGTGGGTGTGGCCTACTGGGTGGGCATGGCCAATAGGGTTGCCAGGTCTGCTTCCAAAAAATAGCGGACAAGCAGGGGGGGGGGGTTAAGTAGTAAAAAAAGTAGACTGTACAGCTTTAGATTACGTACCATTTCATCATAAAGCTTTTGAATAAAAAAATGTCCACTATTTTGTGAAAAAAGATAGTGAACATAATGTGAAAAAAGTGGACTGTCCACTCAAATAGTGGACACCTGGCAACTCTAATGGCCAACTCTACATCATTTGCGTCA